CCCCCCCCCCCGCAGTGTCGCTGTGCAACTTGGCGTGGTGTTTCTCACACACACACGCACACACGCACACACCCCTTTGCAGCTGCAAAAAAAACCGGGCAAGAGATGCAATGCGTTGGGGCTTTGGGATTTTTTTGGGGGGCAGCAGCTGAAGGCGAAGTTAGCCCCCCCCCTCTCCCTCTCCTGGTCCTCCTCTTCCCCCCCTTCTTCCCCTCCGCCTTCCAGCCCCCCCTCCCCCCCCCCAAATCGTTGGCACCAAAAAGGCTTTAGCACCCGGCGCCGCAGCCGGAGGCGAACCCGTTTCAAAGCTGCGTGAGCGGCATACAGAAGCCACCCACCCACCCCCACCTCGGGGGGGGGGCGGGGGGGGGCGAAGCGTCCCCTAGAGGCGGCCGGAGGAACTTAAAACGAGGAGGGTTTTTTTTTTTTTTGTGGGTAGGTGGGCGAGGATTGGGGTTTTTTTCCCCCCCCTTCCCTCCCTTCGTCCTCTGCACCCATCATCCCCTGCCGCCTGGTGGAAGAGGGAGGGGGGGTTTAAATAGAGGAGGGGAGGGGGCTCCCATGAAATCTGGCTTTGGGGGGAGGGAGTAGCAGGGAGTCCCACAGCTCCCCCCCACAAGAGAGACGCTTTTTGGAGGAAAAGGGGGCGCTGTAGGGGAAGCGCCCCCTTCTACCACCCCTTCCCTTGTTGGGGGGGGGAAGACCCCTCCTCTCTTGAAACACCCCCCCCCCTTTGCCTTCGTAGGTCGCCTTTCCTCTTCAAGCGCTCCAGGCGACGGTCAAAAATCGCCCGTTTTTTTTTTTTTGTCCTCCTCCTCCTCCTCCTCCTTCCTCCAACAACAACCCCGCGAGGACGGCCGGCCTGAGCCGAGAGCCCGTTTGGCCGGCTGGACGGAGGGACGGGCCCCAGCAGCCCCAGCCAGATGGGGCTAAAGGACTACAGGTCCCATTGACCCCAGCCCGGCTGCCTTTTCTCTCTCTCTTTTTTTCTCTTTTCTCTTTTTTTCTCTTTTTCTCTCCCTCCTCTCTCTCTCTCCCTCCATCCCTTCCTCTCTTTCTCTCCCTCTCTCCCCCTGTCTTTGGCGCCCCCCCCCCCCCCATTTTTTTTTCTTTTCCTTTTTT